CTCACTGGAATCCCTCTTGGCTGAGTGATGCACGTGTCACCAAGAAGAACCCTGTGTCAGGATGATTGGCCAGAGACAACCCTGAAACTAACCCATTACCATAAAACCCGAGACTGCAAGCCATGTGGCAGAGCAGTTCTCCCAGGTTCCCTTACCCTGCTGCTCTCCGCCTGGGCACCCCTTCCCAATAAAGTCTCTTGCTTTGTCGGCACGTGTGTATCCTCCGACCATTCATTTTTGAGTGCTAGACAAGAGCCCACTCTCGGGCCCTGGAAGGGGTCCCTCTTCCTGCAACAGAAATATGGATAGTAAAGGCCATTCTGATGAGGTGTCAGATGAAAATGAATAATATGTTATTGGAAACTGGAGAAAAGGCAATCCTTGTTATAAAGTGGCAAAGAGGTTGGCTGAATAGTGTTCATGTCCTAGTGTGTTGTGGAAAGTAGAAATTGTGATCAATAAAATTGACTATTTGACTGAAGAAATTTATAAGCAAAGTGTTGAAGGAGGGGTCTGGTTTCTCTTGAATGCTTATATTATAATTTGAGAAAAGAAATGATTTGAAGGTGGAGTTGTTAATCAAAAAGGAAGTTGACTTTAAAAATTTGGAAAATTCTTGAGCTATTCATGTTGAAAGAAATAAGAAAACTTGTTAAGAGAGAACACAAGTGGTGTGCCAAATTTGATGAAGAGATTGGTATGGATTGATCATTTCAGTGGAAATTAGGAGCTATTCATCAAGACAATGCAGAGATTGACTGGCTTTCTAAACAGAATCCAGGACCTATTGTCCAAGACAGTGGAAAAATGACCTATTTTAGGGCATTTCAGAGATCTTTGGGACTACCCCTTCTACCGCAGATCCATAGTGCAAGGGCCTGCAGGGCAGAATGATTTCAAAGAATGGGCTGTCTCTGCCATGTGCCACCTCATATTGTGACTTCTGCTCCTTAAATTCCAGCTCCAGCCTCCTCAATTATCCGAGGTGCAGCTTTCAAAGGCCAGGAGTGTGGCTATATCATCTTAGATCTCAAAGGATAGAGCCACAAAGGGCTCCAGGCACACAACACTGGCAGAGGTCCACTATAGGGACAGGGTTACCACAGAGAACTCCTGCTAGGACAATGCCCAGAGGATCCAGAGATAAGCAGACAGCTCAACCCCTGAGACCACAAACCAGTAGAGCCACCTGTGCAATTGCAACCTAGGAGAGTCACAGGCACAGGACTACAACCCATAACTGGTATGTGCACCCAGCAAAACTTGTAGGCCCCACCACCACCCCAGAGTATCTGGAAGTTGGGACTGTTATCTAAAATCTGGATTTGCCTCTTGGTGGGTGTTGAGCCAAAAGACACAACCAAGCCAAAGAGTGTGAGAAGGAAGGGTTTATTACTTGAAGCAGGTAAGGAGAACACCTGGGATATTTCCCAAAGCAGTGTCTCCCTGTACAAAATAATTGGAGAAATTTTAAGCTAAGATTGTATGCATATTCATGAGGGGCTTAAGCAAAGGAGAATTCAGCACAGAATTGAGGCAAAGGTTGACAGTGTCCAGGCTCTAGTTGATTGAAGTCACAAGGGTCAGAAAAGGTCAACATTACCATTCCTTAATTTCCAGTTAATCTGGTGGTTGAGTGCTCGAGGGGGTTTGAATTTTGCAAAACAGTTGAAGAATGTGCTTTGGGCTAATCTTTACCTTTGAAACAGAACTGGGTGTCTTTACAACTGATATATTGTATCCGATATGGTTATGTTATCTCCCTGGCCTGGTAATAGCTGTTTTTTATCTTCTTTTATTCCCTTAAAATTATTAACTACTGAGACCTATTCTTCTGCAAGCATTGTGGCTATGCTTAGATAGCAAAGTGGCTTAGGCCTAAAATGGCTTCTCTCATGTTAAGAAAGTTATATCTGGTTCTTTTCCTCTGGAGACCCCCTACCCTATATGCTTACAAAACCACAAACCCAGTGGGTCTTAAGGTTTTGGACTTGCTCAGGAATCATTATCCCTTTACTCTTTCCTATTTCTCCCTTTTGTGTTTTTTAATTTTTTTCTTATTTCTTGAAATATATTGGACATATAACATTGTCTAAGTTTAAGGTGTACAACAAACATGTTGATTTGATACATTTATATACTGTAATATGATTGGCAGTGTAGAATTAACTAGCACCTCTATCACATCTTATAATTATCATTTCTTTTTTGTGGTGGGAATACTATTTCTCTCTTTTAGAATAGGAGTATTCATCCTATGCCTCTCACATCACTTTATTTTAGAAGCACATAACATGCTTGATTTTACAGGTTTATAGCTGGAGAGCAGCTTACCTCAGGATGAATGATGTCACTCATATCTGATTAAAATCATATTTAGATGAGATTTTGGATGTATACTCTTGAGTTGATGACACATGAGAAGGACAAGAATTTGGGGGGACCATGGGTGGAATGCTATGGTCTAAAAGTTTGCATCTCCCTAAAATTCACAGGTAGACATCATAATACCTAAAGAGATTATATTAGGAGGTGGAGGCCTTTGGGAAGCGATTAGGTCATAAGGGCTGCCCTCATTAATGGGATTAGTGCCTTTATAAAAGAGGCTTCAGAGAGATCTCTTGTCCCTTCCACCATGTGAGGACACAGTAGGAAGGTCCTGGCTATGAACCAGGAAGACGGCCCTCAGCAGAATGAAACCATGTTTTTATCACCTTCGTTTTTTATTTCCCAGCCTCTAAAACTGTGAGAAATAAATTTCTGTTTTTCTTAAGTTTCCCAGTCTTTGGAATTTTGTTATAGTAGCTTGAACAGACTAAGACTGAAGGCACTTAGTTCAATATATTATTTTATAATGAGGTAACTGAGATTAAATAAATTGTCTAAGATTCTACAGCTCTTAAATGGCAGCACTGGAGACTTGAACCCTGACTTCTTGATTTCCAGTCCATTGTTCTCTCAATTAATGACTACTGTGATGAATAAATGATTTAGCATTGTTTAGCCAAGTCTTGGGCTGTTTCATCTAAACAATTATTTCTCACAAAACTGGATGCACCTTGCAATTCATTTGATTTAATAACTGTCCAAGGATAATAGAGTGGCCATCCTCCAATTTAGTATTTTCATAAAGTAAATTAGGTTTTAATAGATCATATACCAAGTATTTGAGCTAAGTTAAAATTTCAGACAGATTAATCCCCTACCTTCAGAGAGAAGTGGAGAAATGAAGTAATTTTCTCACTATTCAGAGGAAAAATCCTTTATCTGAAATAGCCAGATAATTAAGGCAAGAATTTCTCCCAGCCCTAAATGGCCAATTGCTATAATTCCCCACTTCCTGTCACTTATTAAGTCTGGACTCTAATGACTAGTATATGTTCCAATAATAACATGATGGGTCTTCTCCAATCAGCAAAAGAGACGATATGCCATCTACCTATGTACTAAGTTTGAAATTTATTATTTAGATTTAATATCATTAATAAAGACATTTCACAGTTTCTCACCTAGTGGTTTTTAATCAGTTACCATGCTGAGTAGCCAATATGACACAATGTTTTGCAAAGATGAGGAAATGATTTTCAGCATGAAAAAAATCCATTAACAAAACAGATTTAACTAGAAAAACTTTCAAGTTCGAAATAACAGAGGACTGATTCTTGTATCTGAGGTAGCATCTTGTTATCTGAGAATTGTGCATTTTTACTGATTTTGATAATCTTCTAGAGAAGAAAATACTTTTTTACAACCTTATAAATCTCTAAAAAACAGAAAGGTAGCTCCATGAAAATAAACACAATATTTTGTCATCTCAAGGACTATGTTACCAGGTATTCAAAGTGCCTAAGGGCATGGCCTTATTAATTTTCCCCCATATTCTTTGAAAATATGTGATTGTTAGCATTCTACTACTGTTTCACAACCTCTGAGATTAGTGAAAACACAAGCGTACTTCTCGCCTTTATTTTAGGTTTCTAGTAATTGGTTTCCTAGATACGGTCACTTTAATTCTATCTCAAACTATTTGTGAATTCCTTACAACTCTACTTGTTGCAAGTTCTGTCTTAAGTTGGGGAGGGGGTGGGCAGGGGAAGAAATCAATGACTATTAAATTAATAAGTACATATGTATGTATACATACATGTATACATGCATTGGCAAAGGTCCTGTGAGGGATTTGTAGTCTCTAAAATTAATTTATTAGGTAAATAAAATGAGAATCAGAGAGGTTAGGAGACATGTCCAAAGTAAAAAGAAATGGTAGATGTCAGTCTGGACTAGAATTCAGCATTTCCAATGCCAAGTCTGGTGACTTTGGGCTACCACTGAGAGTACCCTTAGTGCTTCTTAATACTCACTCAGCCAACTATGGATAGGGTTTGAATGAAGCATATAGAGACAGATTTCAATTATCCCTGTATGACTTAATACATAACATTAAAAAAAAAATCCTTGGCAACTTATGTGGGCAAGAGAAAAGGAACAAAATGCACTTAACAGTTTCAAGGCTGGTAACCCAGGTGGGAAAGAAAATAATGTAATTCACACAGCATCTTAGGGATATGATATAGAAGCAGGTGGATCTAAAACTGAAACTGCAAGTCATGTACATGAGAATAGAATGACTTCACTGATAAGAGTAGGAAAGGAGCTGCAGGTGGTACTGTGGTAGGAGGAATGGAATGCTTTGGAATGCTAAGTATGCTCTATAAGAATCAGTTAATAAAGTATGCTATTGTTGGTTTACAGACAATTAGAAGTTAGAAGTAAAGCATGATTACTGTTGCTATGTTTGCATCCAAGCTTTACAAGTAAGCAAATAGAAAAGTATACCAAATTGGTGCAAAAGGAATTGGAAGCTAACTCTCTCAATTCTTAGATATTGAAATTGAACAACAATCCTGTCCCAAAATGTCAAGCAGGATTAATCTTTCCCCAATACAGATGATCCCTGATTTATGATGTTTCAACTTACAATTTGTTTGGCTTTACAATAGTGCCAAACAGATATGCATTCAGTAGAAACTAAACTTCGAATTTTAAATTTTGATATTTTCTCAGGTTAGTGACATGCAGTAGGATACTCTCTCATGATGCTGAGTAGCAGCAGCAAGCCATAGCTCCCAGTCAGCTATGTGATTGTGAGGGTAAACAACTGATTTACTTACAACCATTCTGTACCCTTACAAACATTCTGTTTTCACTTTCAGTATAGTATTCAATAAATTACCTGAGATATTCCACACTTTATTATAAAACTGGCTTTGTGTTAGATGATTTTTCCCAACTTTAGGCTAATGTAAGGTAGGATAGGCTAAGCTTTTATGTTCAGTTGATTAGGTGTATTAAATGCTTTTTTTTTGCGGTACTCGGGCCTCTCACTGTTGTGGCCTCTCCCGTTGCGGAGCACTGGCTCCGGACGCGCAGGCTCAGCGGCCATGGCTCATGGGCCCAGCCACTCCGTGGCATGTGGGATCTTCTCGGACCAGGGCACGAACCCGTGTCCCCTGCACCGGCAGGCGGGCTCTCAACCACTGCACCACCAGGGAAGCCCAAATGCATTTTTGACTTATGATATTTTCAACTTATTATGGGTTTATCGAGATGTAAGCCCATCATACTTTGAATAAGATCTCTATATTTGTAGGCCACCATTCTCCACTGTGCTTATATAATTGAAGCCATTTTAGAATTCCCTAAAAGAAACATATTAACTACTGTGTGCCTGAGATTGTGTAAGGTATTGAGACACACTGGCATAAATGATAATGTGTTCAAAAATCTAAATATAAATGGAATGCAGATTATCTTCTCCTATTAGTCAAGCAAAATGGATTTGAATCCTAGTTCTGCCACTTACTAGCTGAGTAGCCCTGAGCAAGTCATTTAATCTTTCTGAATCATAGTTCCATCAACTGAAAAATAAGGATACTTATAACAGCTCTTTAGGGTTGCTATGAGAATTAAATTAGTAACATACAAAAAGTAACTAGGCTGTGCTTGGCACACTGTAGTAAACTGGATGTTAGTGTGTTCTGACTGCTCCACTCACCAGCTGTTCCCCCATTTCTCTCCCTCTCCTCAGGCCTCTGTATTCCCTAAGATACAAAATATTGAAACTAAGCCAATTAATAACCTTACAATGGTCTCTTAGTGTTTAAGGGAAAGGAAGAGTTGCACATCTCTCATTTTAAGTCAAAAGCTAGAACGAATTTAAGCTCAGTGAGGTAGGCATGTTAAAAGCCAAGATAGGCTGAAAGCTAGGCCTCTTGTGTCAAATCGTTAGCCAAGTTATGGATGCAAAGGGAAAGTTTTTGAAAAAAATTAAGTGCTACTCTAGCAAATGCACAAATGATAAGAAAGCAAAATGGCCTTATTGCTGATATGGAAAAAGTTTTAGCAGTCCAGATGGAAGATCAAACCAGCCACAATATTAAGCCCTTAAGCCAAAGCCTAATCCAGTGCAAGGTCCTAACTCTTTCAAGTCTATGAAGTTTGACAGAGTTGAGAAAATTGCAGAAGTAAAGTTTGAAGCTAGCAGAGATTGGTTCATGATGTTTAAAAAAGAAGCCATCTCCATAACGTAAAAATGCAAGGTGAAGCAGCATGTGCTGATGTAGAAACAGCAGCAAGTTACCCAGAAAAATACAGCTAAGATAATTAATAAAGTTAGCTACACAAAACAACAGATTTTAAACGTAGATGAAACAGCCTTATATTGGAAGAGAGTGCCATCTAGGGAATTCATACCTAGAGAGGAGAAGTAAATGCCTGGCTTCAAAGGACAGGCTGTCTCTCTTGTTAGGGGCTAATGCAGATGGTGACTTTAAGTTGAAGCCAATACTCATTTACCATTCTGAAAATCCTAGGGCCCTTAAGAAGTATGCTAAATTTACTCTGACTGTGCTCTGTAAATGGAACAAGAAAGCATGGATGACAGCACATGTAAACCAACATGTTTTACTGAATGTTTTAATCCATTGCTGAAATGTACTACTCAGAAAAAAGTTCTTTCAAAATATTACTGCTCATTGACAATGCACCTGGTCACCCAAGAGCTCTGCTGAAGATGTACAGCAAGATTAATGTTTTCATGCCTGCTGACACAACATCCATTCTGCAACCCACGGATCAAGGTGTGATTTCAATGTTCAAGTCTAATTTAAGCAATACATTTTGTAAGGCTATAGCTGCCATAGACAATGATTCCTCTGTGGGTCTGGGCAAAGTAAATTGAAAACCTTCTGGAAAGAATTTCTTATTCTAGATGTCATTAAGAATGTTTGTGATTCATGGGAAGAGGTAAAAATGTCAACATCAACAGGAGTTTGGAAGAAGCTAATTCCAAAGTTCATGGATGACTTTGAGGGATTCAAGACTTCCGTGGAGGAAGTAACTGTAGGTGTGGTGGAAATAGCAAGAGAACTAGAATTAGAAGTGGAGCCTGTGATGTAACTGAATTGCTACAATCTCATGATAAAACTTTAGTGGATGAGGAGGTGCTTCTTATGGATGAGCAAATAAGGGGTTTCTTGAGATGGAATTTACTCCTGGTACATATAATGTGAAGATTGTTGAAATGACAACAAAGGATTTAGAATATTACATAAAGTTAGTTGGTAAAGCAAGGGCAGAGTTTGAGTACTGACTCCAGTTTTGAAAGAAGTTTTTCTGTGGGTAAAATGCTGTCATACAGCACTACATGCTACAGGAAATTGTTCATGAAAGAAAGAGTCCATCAATGACTCAAACTTTATTGTATTACTTTAAAAAATTGTCACAGCTATCCCAACCTTCAACAACCATGACCCTGATCTGTCAGCAGCTGTCAACATTGAGGCAAGACCCTCCACCAGCAAAAAGACTATGACTTGCTAAAAGCTCAGATGGTTACCATTTTTAGCAATAAAGTAATTTTTAATTAAGGTATGTACATTGTTTTTTAGACAAAATGCCATTGCACACTCAATAGACTACAATATAGTGTAAACATAATGTTTATATGGGAAGCCAAAATTTGCCTTGCTTTATTGTGATATTCACTTTATTGAGGTGGTTTGGAACTGAACCCACAATATCTATGAGGTATGTTTTTATTCCTAAATCTTTACTACTTTAATTAGGTTACCATTTGGCTAAAATGGCAGCATTGTTGGATAACATAAACCTTGAGAATAACCACCATATTTAAAGAAACCAGCAGCACAGTCTCTGAGAATTTACATACACGTGTATTCATTCAACACCCTTATAAAGCACTGTGTATTCATAGACACATCTCAGGACATTTGTCAAATGTTGAAGTAAGCTATGCAACCAAAATCAATACTGTGTGCTTAAAACATATAAAGTCATAGATAATACATATTTTATTTATCTAATCAGAGAATTGCAAATATTATATACTAAAGCATGCATGTGCTTACTGTAAAGGAAATAAAATGTGTTCTTTTAATCATATTATTCCAGATAGTGACTTTCTCCTTGGAGAATATGTACCTGCCAATTCAAATACAAATCTGCTAATTCTTTTTTTTTTTTTTTTTTTTTGTGGTACGCGGGCCTCTCACTGTTGTGGACTCTCCCGTTGCGGAGCACAGGCTCCGGACGCACAGGCTCAGCGGCCATGGCTCACGGGCCTAACCACTCCGCAGCATGTGGGATCTTCCTGGACTGGGGCACGAACTCGTGTCCCCTGCATCGGCAGGTGGACTCTCAACCACAGAGCCACCAGGGAAGACCCAAATCTGCTAATTCTGACCAGATTTTAAAGATGACCAAAGTACAGAAGAGGCCTCTTTCCCAGTTTTATCCTTTTTTCAGAGAGAATTTTCCTATAGGGTCTTACATTTTAATTGATCTATATGCAGCCTTTAAATATCAAAGAAGGATCAATCAAATTTAAAGGTTAGAAGAAGAGGGAGGGAGAAAAGAAACTTAGCCATGGAGAATTGGAAACATAGAGTAAATACAAGGGATTTAAAAAGGCATTAGTGTAGTTAGTTTCCTCCAGATAAAGAAATGAAGACCTTCTCCTTTTTACAGTGTTTTTGAGCTCTTTGAAAATTAGCAGGCAAGGCAGAAAAAATCCATCACTGGAATATTATTATATTTATGGGCCTAATGCTGAATTCTGTTCTGTTTGAGTCAGTCATCATAGAATATTTTACTTAAAAAAAATTATAAGATGATATAGTTCAGCAGTTCTCAAATTTTTGGTCTCAGGATTCCTTTACATTAAAAAAAAATTTAATGATTAAACAAAAAGCTTTTGTTTAAAACTGATGAGAATTTAAAAAAATAATTATGTATTAATCCATTAAAATAGCAATAATACATTCATTACATGGTAAGATGAATTATATATTTAAGATAAATAATTATAGTCCAAAATAAAAAAATTACTAAGCAGCATCATTTTACATATTTGCAAAGTTCCTTCGTATTTAGCTTAATAAAAGATAGCTGAGTTTTCAATATGCTTCTGCAAGCAATCTGTTGTGACATCATGCATTTTGTAACCTTTGGAGAACACCAGTGTAAACTGATGATGGGAATAAAAATGACAAATAGTTCAGAGAATGAGTAAGATAAGGGTTCTATTCATGGATCACTTGGAAGTGTTTCAGGATCCTTAAAAATCTTTCTACAACTGAGGAAACAATTTCTTTTTTAAGTTTATGTCCATAAAGTATTTTGAATATTATGTACATAAATACATAACAGAGCAATATGGTATTATTACTGTATTTATGAATTTAATATATTGCTTCTGTTCTATGACATCAGTTCATAATAAGTAGGATTAAGTGTACCTCGACTGACTATAGAAATTTTCTTTCAACAAGCAAAAAAACAACTCATTATTTTTCATCTGTGTGTCATGCTAATATGGTCAGTACTTAAAGGTCAGTACTTAAAATTGGCTGCCTACCTCTGAAAAGTTACTAAACAAAAGTAGAGAATTTCTATATGATATAAAGACAATTTACATAAGACAAAATTTAAGTTATCAGGAGATAATTATGTAATAAATTTTTTTTCAGTTTTTCCATATGACCTTTAAAGGACTTGAGCCTCTGCAACACTCCTCTAATTTCTAATATGTGCTCTTTTATTTCTGGAATTATGACTGAATATTTGAACTTGTAATTTTGGGTGATATTCCTCAAAGTGGCACAAAGTTGCCTCATCACTGCTGTTACTTCCTATTCCCGCTGGTAACATTGTGTTTCCTGTTGATGCCCACCCTTTCCCTCCTGACCAATAGTGGCATTTTTCTGAAAAAAAAATAGATTTTGTCTAACTTTAAAACTGTTCATTAAAAGACATCATTAATGGGCTTCCCTGGTGGCGCAGTGGTTGAGGGTCCGCCTGCCTGCTGATGCATGAGACACGGGTTCGTGCCCCGGTTCGGGAAGATCCCACATGCCGCGGAGCGGCTGGGCCCCTGAGCCATGACCACTGAGCCTGCGCGTCTGGAGCCTGTGCTCCACAACGGGAGAGGCCACGACAGTGAGAGGCCCGCGGACCGCAAAAAAAAAAAAAAAAGGGGCTTCCCTGGTGGCGCAGTGGTTGAGAGTCCGCCTGCCGATGCAGGGCACACGGGGTCGTGCCCTGGGCCGGGGAGATCCCACATGCCGCGGAGCGGGTAGGCCCGTGAGCCATGGCCGCTGAGCCTGCGCGTCCGGAGCCTGTGCTCCACAACGGGAGAGGCCACGACAGTGAGAGGCCCGCGGACCCCAAAAAAAAAAAAAAAAAGACATCATTAAGAAAATAAATAACCAAACCACAGACTAGGAGAAATATTTGCAAAGCATATGTATGAAAAAAGACTGGAATCCAGAATATATTTAAAAATCCTCCAACTCAATAATAAAAAAGCAATTAAAATGGGCAAAATATTTGAGCAGGTACATCACAAAGGAACATATATGAATGATCATAAGCATATGAAAAAATTCTCTACATCAGTATTCAACAGAGAAATGAAAAACAAAACACTATGTAATGCTACTACGCACTCAGTAGAATAGCTAATATTAAAAAGGCTGACAATAAGTTGCTAGCAAAGAGTATAAAGCAACTGACGTTCGTGGTGGGAATATAAAATGATACATCTACTCTGGGAAAAGCTCTGCCAGTTGCAATTATTTTATATTTTAATTTTTATTTTTCCAGTTTCAGTAGATATAATTGACATACGATATTGTATAAGTTTAAGGTGTGCAGCGTAATGATTCTATAAACGTATATACTGTGAATTAATTACCATGATAAATTTAGTTAACGTCCATCAACTCACATTTGCTACAATTTTTTTTTTTTTTTTTTTTGCTGTATGCAGGCCTCTCACTGCTGTGGCCTCCCCCGCTGCGGAGCACAGGCTCCGGACGCGCAGGCCCAGCGGCCATGGCCCACGGGCCCAGCTGCTCCGCGGCACGTGGGATCCTCCCGGACCGGGGCACGAACCCGCGTCCCCTGCATCGGCAGGCAGACTCTCAACCACTGCGCCACCTGGGAAGCCCCAATTTTTTTTCTTTTGATGACTCCTAAGATTTAGTCTCTTAGCAACTCTCAAATTTACAGTACTGTATTATTAAATATAGACAATATGCTGTACATTATATCCTAGGAACTTATTTATCTTACAACTGGAGGTTTGTAAATAACTTATGACTACCTTCTACCATTTCCCCATTTCCAACCACCCCTCTTCTGGAAGCCACCAATCTACTCTCTGTTTCTATGAGTTTTTTTAGATTTCATGTATGTGAGATCATACAGTCTTTCCATGTCTGAATTATTTCACTTAGTATAATGTCTTCAAGGTCCATCCATGTTGTTGCAAACAACAAGTTTCCTTCCATATTTCATGGCTGAATAATATTACATTATGGAATAATATTCCATATATACCACATTTTCCTTATTTATCCATAGACACTTAGATTGTTTCCATGTCTTGGCTATTTTAAATAATGCTGCAAGGAACGTGAGAGTGCAGTCATCTCTTAGACTTAGTAATTTTACTTCCTTCGGATATATACCCAGAAGTGGGATTTGCCGGCTCTTATGGTAGTTCTATTATTAATTTTCAGAGGAAACTCCATACTTTTTTCCACATTGTCTTCACCAATTTACATTCCTACCAATAGTACATAAGGATTTCCTTTTCTCTACATTCTCACCAGAGCTTATTATCACTTGTCTCTTTGATAATATCCATTCTCACAGATTTTGATTTGCATTTCCCTGATGATTAGGAATATTGAGCATCTTTTCATGTACCCATTGTCCATTTGAATATCTTCTTCGGAAAAATATGTATTCAAGAGATTTGCTCATTTACAATTGCATTTATTTCCTATTAAATTGTATCAGTGCCTTATGTATTTTGGATTTTAACCCCTTATTGGATATAATATCTGTAAATATTTTCTCCCATTTTGTAT